ATAACACGGGAATCAATAAACGATGTCTAATTGCCCGGATTACAATCAATTCTATCAACCCTAAAAAAAATCCATGATCCCAATATCCAAATTAGGGTTTTTCCCACCATCCAAACAGTTCCAAAACCCTTCCCCAACAATAAACGAAAGGAGAACTCATGGCAGCCTGAAAGAACTGGCTCATCCTTGAATTCGATCGACGATCATTGATCTTCTAAGTGAGGTCTGTCAATAGCTGTCTGAAGATGCCCTGTACTCAACAAAGAAAAATAAAGTGTAGTATCAGTACACAACCACAATGTACTGGTTGGATCACACGGCTATCCCACTAAGTGCAACACACATAAGTCAACACAACATAATAATAACATGCATACACCGAACATATACAATATCATCATCATTTAACAAACAACGTACAATTTTACATTTATCAAGTCATTGGTCCTCTCATGTAACCCAAACCCAAACAGTTAGCATACTGGAACGTGCTACCCAATCCAATGATTATGCCGGAAGGTGGCAACCGATCCCATAATTATGTCAGAACGTGGCAACCGATCCAAGTTAGTGTGTCGGAACGCAACACCCGATCCAGTCAACAAACCACAATCACAAAGTACATCCTCATAATCATACAATCAAGTCATGATTCATGGCATTCATCATTCATATATCCTCATTTACAATTAATGTGATCAATAATTCAATATTCGCATACATACATGTATCATAATGAAGCAAGAACAAACATACATCACACAATCATAGAATCACAACAATCATCTACCTTGAAACAAGCTTGAAACCCAAAGAAACTTGATCCTTCCCTTTCCGGATTCGTTCCTCTTGTTCTTGGTCTACAAACAGTTAATACAATATGGGAATCAATAAACAATCACTAATTACCCGGATTACTAACAATTCTATCAACCCTGGATCATACCCATGATCCCAAGTACCCAAATTAGGGTTGTTTCCACCATAGATTCCAAATCAAAACCCTTCCCCATCTATAATTACCCATTAGATTACGTTCTACGGATCGAAAAACAGATTCGGGGAGTTAAAATTTTACCTTTAGCCTCAAGAATGGTGGAAAACTGTTAACAGAAACCCTGGGTTCGTTCCATAGCTCTCAAATTTGAAAATTGCAGAATATGTTTTTTTTGGGTTTATTTACGACTTTAAGTTGCATTTGACCCGCCACAACAGTCCTTACCCCGCTACAGCTGCTTTGCCCTGGCGACCGAAATCACCGCCAAAGCGGCCTGCACGAAACAATGAGCTATTTTAATAATTATAACACCTCCATTTCACAACACACCTTTAACCAATGACACTCAAAAACTACCCGTTCACGCTAAGGTTAATTCCGGGAGTTCTACTCACCTGAATTCAATTACGTGAAGTCGTACGAATGCCTTAACGACTTATCTATCTACTCATGTGATCAAAATTATAATTAGATCACCCAGTTGCTACCAGATTTCTCTAGACTTGAATGACTTCGCTTTTGTCCAAAATCTGGACTAGGTTGAGAAATTCAAAGTTACTACGAAAAGGTTTTCTGACCAAAAATTTTCCCTGTTGGCTTTTCTATAACGACGGAACCCGGTCGTTACAAGTTTTACCCATTTCTTTAGACTATGGTTACTTGTTAGAGTTTTGGTACCTTGACTTTCAGGTTCTAGGTATTTATTCCACATTTGTTTGATTTGACTTTTGGAGTTTATTGGGAACTCCCTATTTTTCTTTTCATATACATTTAAATTTTCTTTTGTAACTTTAAATGCCTTAGTTTTGATTAAGTTGTGTATTTCTTTGGTTAGGTAATAAGAATTAATGGTTCTTCCACCAGAGGGTTAGTGTGGGTACAAATCACGACGGTCTGGGTTGTTACACAGGGCTTATTGATGTATTGTTTAATTTTTAGGAAAAGTATATAATTTATTTTGTATTTAATTTTTGGAACAACTTTATAATTTATTTGGTCTATTATTCATGTCATTCTACTCATATCTTTGCTTAGATTTAAAGAAAAATAAAATATAGTAGATTAAAATTGATCATTAGGTATTTCTAGAATATTATTGTGAAAGATGTGATAAAAAGAATTGAGTTCAGATTGACGATAAAATGTCAATCAAAGAGGCAGTTTTCGGTTTAACAACATTCATTATTTTAATATACATTAAGGAATTTGCATAGCTTGTGACCATAATAATATGCATATATTATGCCCTATTAAACATTAGATGAATATAAATATTATTAAATCTTTTCTCAATTGAGAATGTGGTTACACATCTTTTTAAAGATGCTTAAAAGAAATTAAAGGATGCGATGACGCACCTTGGCCATATTTTTTAATAATTATTTTATTTAGTTAAATCAAAGATTTATAGACAATATTATTTTGTGCGACGTTAAGAAGACATATATGCCTCTAAATATCAAGACCAAAAATACGGCTATGCATCTAGGTTGAGATCAATAAAGTTCAACAATAAGATACGCGAGCAAGCCATAACCTATAACAATATTTCCAAAAAAAATTCAAATATAAGTATAAGTCAATAAAAGCGACCATTCTAGAACCACGAGACTCGAGTTATGCCTAATACCTTCCCATCGGTCAACAAAATTCCTTACGCGGTCTTTTGTTTTAGCAGACCAAAATTAAGAACCATTTCCTTTTGAATAGGGATTCAAAAAGGTCACTTGGAACACTATAACTCAATTCTAAGTGGCAACTCTGAAAAAAAATATATTCCATTAATCAATATCGTCACTTAAATTGGAAAAACTCTTTCACCACTGTCGAAAAAGGGTGTGGCATCAATGTGTAGCCTATTTTGCATTTCGTCTTTCTGTTTAGGCAACCATCTATTTGGGGTTTTACACTCTTTTTAGTGTTTTTGGTCTTTTTGTCTCATTCATTCATTCTTGCCTTGTCTTTTTAGCCTGCATAGATGCAAATCATCAAAATATTATCAGAATAAGACACAAATAGGCATTGAGGACACTCATTGTTGAGATATATAGGTCTTAAATGAGTAGAAATCTACCATTCATCAAACACCATAACAACCTCAAGGCTTAGTCCATTTGAATAAAATGCATGATGAAATCATGGGGGTTGTTATACCAACCAATCGTTTAACTCCGCGAACGCGAAGGTCAAGTCACTAACCCTCCGCAAACGTGAAAGCATTCCATCGAACATGGAGGCTTGGCTAGAAAGCCTCCGTGAACACATAGCCTTTCTCGAGAAAGCGAAGGTGAAGTACCCAGACCTTCGCGAACGCGGCTAAGTGCCTACAAATGCGGAGAACAACCTCCAGACCCTTCATGATCCCAACACCAAAGTTGCAATTGTGGAGAAATACGTCTATGTGCACAAACACCAACAATATCGGCTCAACATCTAGTTGGGAAATACATTGACGAGGGCTCGGGATTTATTTAGAACCATATGAACACAAATAAACTATGCTACCCCACAAAAAGGATATTCGGGACTCAATGAAATCTACAAAACAACCAACGGAGGTTGTCTTGTTAGGACGTTCACTAACTCAAGATATGTACCTAATGAAATCTACGAAACAACAAATGTCAAATGCCTTTAAATCTTGTCGATTACATCAAAATTCGAACCAAATTTTGTGTTAGAACTTATTAAGAATTCTGAAGCTAACGGCACAGATGGAATTCTCATGTGATCACATTTACTAAGAATATTGACCGACATCAAATCTTGGCCAAACTTTCTCAATTATCTCACCTAACGCCTAAAAATCACACTGAAGGCCTCAGAGTCCAAACAAACCATCCAATTTGACCAAAACAGTCTTCTAGAGCTGATGAAACTGACAGAAATCACATCCGACGTCAGTTTCTCTGGATTTTCACTAAAGTCAACTCTTTTAGTTTAAAACTTTCAAAAAAAGAAAAACTTGAAGAAAACGTTTTCAACCACCTCGGAATGCATGTCATTCATCCAAACACCACACACATAACACAAGGAAGCTATGGGGAAGGTAAAAAGTGTCAAAAGTACAAAAGAAAAAACACGCAAATGACCATGAGGGTTATTAGAAAACTTCGAACAAAGATCGTCTCAACAATAATGGGACCAGCCATTCAAGCTTTATTTTATGTCAGAATCCATAAGGTAGCTCGAAAATAGCTCGAAAACTTCGAGATCCGAACCAAGGATGCTTCTAGACAAAACTTAATGTTTTGGAATAACTTAACCATCACAATTGCATTTTGACGCCATTTACTTAGATTTTTGACCAAGTCAACCATTCAAGTTTCAAAAGTATGTGAAAACTCACTTAAAAACAAACACTACAAGAAAAACAGTCTCTAAGGAAGGGAAATCTAGTCCCTAAAAGTTTAAATCTAGTCTCAATTGAGCAACTGAGACCAGAAAAATATGGTCGCCACTCGTCCTAGATACTTCCGTCGCTAGTGGTCAGTAAGGACGAGGTCAAAAGTCTGGTCCCTGAAATATTTTAGGACGGGAAAAACTCAGGTCGTGAACTCCTTTTAGGGACTATAAATCTGGTCTCAAATAGAGCATTTATATCTTGGTATTCAGGTCGTTAAACCTCTTTTTGCAACCTTCCGCAACCTGGTCCTAGTAAATTTTTAGAGACGAGTGTACCAGCTGGTCCTAGAATACAGTTAGGTCGTTGGAGACCATTAATAATCTGGTCATAGAATAGATTTAGCGACCTTAACAAACTGGTCCTAGAGTAGTTTTAAAGACGAACAACAAGCTGGTCCTAAAATAGCTTTACAGGCGAGCATGATTTCTAGTCCTAGCTTATACATTAGAGACGAGCAACAATTCTAGTCCTAGATTGACCTTTTGAGACGATCAATAATTGTGGTCTCTAACTGACCACCATTGATCCTAGAATCATTAATATCACAAAGAATCTAAATTCATCGACAAATATCAAACTAGAGAGGGGGCAAGAAGATAGAGATAAGAGTATGATTGATTACAATAAATTGGTTAACATCCCATGATGTTCAATATTTGCTTAACAAAAAAACTTAGATAACATCCAAAGTATTGCAAAATATTCATAGCAAACTAATAATGAGTTAGTGCATCTTCTAAACTTGTATCTTCACTAAAGAATGAACAAAAGTCTGGCAGAAAACTTAAAATTTCAATCTTTGTCAAGTGATATCTAGAAACATCAACAAAACCTGCAAGAAATAAGAAAAATCCATTAGAGAACTTTAAGATACATTAAGAAAGAATCCAACATCTTTTTTGAAGAACTACAACTAAATAACATTTGGTAGAAAATGGAAATAAATGGACTGAATGAATAGCATAAACGACAAGTTGGATTAACGACGCAGCTGGCAACAAACAGTAAAACAGAGTAGCTGGAAGCAAACTGTAAAACACACAGCAGCTGCTGGTTGCAATGTTGCAGCAGTGAGGAACTTTAAAATCAAAATTTATGTCATTATGCAGCTTTGCAGAAAAATTTTTAAAAAAAGCGCCAGCATAAAAAAATTGAACAGTTGCGATAAAGTTCTACAATTGCCTCACCTCAGCTCATCTCCTCGCCTAACCTACTTCGTTTAACCAAATTAAGAGTTCAAAATTAGAGAACTTTGTGATACATTAACCAAGAAATCAACATCTTTTATGATGAATCACAACTAAATAACATTTGGTAGAAAATGGAAATGAATGGATTGAATGAATAGCAAAAGAGACGAGCTGAAATAAGCTCAGATCTACGAAATATGGGATCTCATAGTGGTAAGCAGAGAATTAACCAGAAACCACAGCAAGCTAAGGAAATTTAAAGGCAAGAGAAAGCAAGCGCAGGAATAATGGAATGTGATGTTTAAATCTGCTATAACAAGCCCATCGACGAGTGGGACTAAGTCGTGGGCAGATATAGTAGAAGAAGAGGAGAAAAGAATTCCAGCGAGGAAGGCATCTATTTGGGATGATTTTGACATCTCAAAGGTATCAAATGTTAGTTTTAAGCTTGAATATGTTGCCCCAACGTCCTATGATACATCTAATATTGTGGAGATAGAAATGGAAGACATTAGCTCAGAGATCTATTATTGGAAGGATTCAGTGGTGTGTTATGTGTTGTGTGCTCACAGTCCTGTGCAAACATTGCCGGAAATATGGGCATTCTGAGGAAGTTTGCAGGAAGAAACAGAAACCAAAAGGTCTAATTAAGCAGGCACAAAGCATCATCCAACATGTGCAGGAAAATCAGAAGTTTAAACTAGTTGAGGTAGCATCTCCGTATAAGGCACAAACTGGACAAACCAAATCACAAGGGGGACTTTCCTTGTATGTAAGCAATAAGAAGTCACTGACTCTAACGAATACAGTATCAAAATGGGTACATATTCTACTGCACAACCAGATGAAATGTGATTTGAGTTATTATTTTCAGAAAATGGAGAGGCATCATATGTGGAGGTAACAAATATACACCTGATCGTAACGGTTGTTCGTGATTCAACTTTTCTTGCTTAATATCATGCGACGATGATACCCCAAGTGACAAATGTTACGATCACGAACAATTTTTCCCAAATGCCTTGAAAAAAGATTGTTATTTGTTCCAATCGTTCGATTGTAAAATGTTACTTTCAACTTCTGTGCAATTTCAAGTGAAGCAACTTCTTTGCACTTGTTGCTTCCTTGAACTCTTTTACCTTTGTAGGATTAGCTGAACCTACAGTTGCATAATTTGATAAAAACTATAGCAATCAAACTCATTTCTAAGACTTAATAACATATGAATTCAAAATATCATACCTTTTTTCTGTTTTTTTAGAGTGTTTCATAACTTGATCAACAGATGGAGGCAATGAAACATTGGTTTGCATATCCTCTTTCTCAAGAACTATTTTTTTCATCTTTTACATTTCGTGACTAGAAGGCATGGTAAACTCGATTTGGTGCATTTAGTAGGAGTAACATTAGCAAAAACAGTACTCTTGTTGAAAGATCCCACCTCATATTCAGAAAATCCTAAAGTGAAGCTCAAAGATCCAGTTCTTTTCTCTAGTCCCTTTTTTTTTAGCACCTGGACCCACTAAACGTGATATAAAAGTTTATCAAAAACATGACAACACAATAGATTTTCAAAAAAATACAATATATTTGAAAAGATCTTACTTGTTTCAATTTCTTGGGTGTATTTGTTAACTTGATTAGTAGATGTAGGAGATGAGGTATTAATTTGCATGTTCTCTTTCTCAAAAGCCATGGAGTTCTTATGCATCATTCGTATTTCTTGACTAGTAGACATGGTAGAGTTTTTAAGTCCTTGTCCTCGTCCCTTCCCTATATAATCTGGAAAAAAAACAAATCATACTTTATAAGTGGACTAATGCATCACAAGACTTGAAATAGAAAGCTGGAAAAAATATTTATGCCTATATTCTGCATCAAACGGAAAGCTGGAAAACAATATTTTCCTTCAAGACAATTAAAATTTTTGCTTATGGTCTGAGGTAAAAGAATACAAAATATCTTACTTGTTTCAATTTCTTTGATGTACTTTTTAACTAAATCACTTGATTGAGGCAATATACTCTTATATTATGAGGCCAAATCACAAGACATGAAACAGAAAGCTGGAAAAAAAATATTTATGCCTATATTCTGCATCAAACAGAAAGCTGGAAAAAATAATTTTCCGCACCTTCTCCTCCAAGATAAAATACAGATTATAGAAAGCTGGAAAATATATTTTCCTTCAACACAATTAAAAATTTTGCTTGTGGTTTGAGGTAAAAGAATACAAAATATCTTACTTGTTTCAATGTTTTTGATGTACTTCTTGACTAATTAATCACTTGATTGAGGCAATATACTCTTATATTATAAGGTTCCAAATCACAAGACATGAAACAGAAAGCTGGAAAAAAATATTTTCCTTCAACACAATTAAAAAAAATTCTTATGGTCTGAGGTAAAAGAATACAGAATATCTTACTTGTTTCAATTTCTTTGATGTACTTCTTAACTAGATCACTTGATTGAGGCAATATACTCTTAGATGGTAAATTTCCTTTCTCACCCAAAGACTAAAGCCCTCGTCCTCGTCCCTTTCCAATAGCACCAGGTGCGACAAATGTATATCCTATAGTACTCTTCATATTAGAATCGACCTCATTTTCAATCTGCAATAGTTTCATCTTGAACGTGCAAAAAGAGCAAAAAAGTTAAAAATTAGACCTGAAAAATGTTTAGTAAAGTACGAATAAAAGAAATGTTGCCATCATAACATTTAAGAATGAATATACTAACTCATAAAAGCATCTTGGTTGCTAAGGAAGATTTTCATGAGCAAAAATACTATGAATCCATTAGGTATGATTATGACCAGTAGCTATCTATGCATGAATTCACTATTCAGAAATTTTACAAGGAGTTACTTATCTTTTCCTAAAGTTTCATGGAGGAAATTAGTGTGTAATAATTTTGGAGCACCTAAATGGCTATTTATTTTCAGAATGGCTGCATTGGAGAGATTATATACTAAGGATAGACTTACTAAATGGGGAATCATCAACAATCAAGACTGTCCATTATGTCTCACAGGAAGAGAAAGCATGGACCACATGATCTTTATATGTCCTTACACTTTATATGCTTGAAGGAAATTATTGAATTGACAAGGTATTGATAGACAACTTCTTGGATGGAAACAAGAATTGGCATGGATGATAACCTGGGAAGGAATGGTAGCTACTGGTTGTGTTTACCAGTAGCTTAGACAGTTTGATTATTATTAGTAAAGGATGTAAGAAACTAAACTTCGGACAAGAAAACTGAGATAACTACAAAGCTAGTTGAGTAACTGTCGACAAGAAAATCATTGAGTAGTTAATTCACCAGCCAATACCCTTATCAATGTAGGAACAAAAATAGGACGCAAGTTAGCCAACCATAACTCGAGAATAAAATGGTTATCAATTAACAATCTGAACAAGTTAGTAAAACTAGCTTGGATCAACATCTTGCAAAAATACTTGCACATCTACGTTTGCCAGGAAACACTATTCCTAAAAGAAACAAATCCAGAACAATTACAAGAACCTGCAACCAACACAACTAATTGCTTGAGATTTTAGTTCAACAAAAAGAAAAGTATTTACGTATAGTAGACAAGAATGAAATTTACTCCCCATAACCTCACTTTTGAACTGTTTTAATAAGTCGATCAATAAACGACACCTTAATCCCAAAACTAATTCAAGTCAGCTATACAATCCTTCTAAATTGACCCAACACTTTTCAGTACTAAACTTAATATGTAACTGATAATAATCAAGCTATTTAAACAATCTGACAGGCCAGCAATATTGTTAACCAATTACCACAAACAAGCAAGTTATGCATAGGCATTACTTCATGCATCAGACAAATGATCAGTGTGCATATCTAATAATATATCCAAGATTAGACATTGTCCTATATTAGGTCCCAGGTTCAAATGTGATATCTTCCAAAAAAAAAAGCAGCCTACTCAACCTTTTGTTCCTAGAACGAGATTGTGGAAAGTTAGTCATGGAAATGAGATGGTTCGAGTCCTAACTCCTACTCTATGAAAATTTACACAAAAAACATCAAAAAGGTCAATATTTTTATCTAAGGCAGCCATTGATTTAATAAAAGATTAAATTCTAAAGACAAATAGAAAAATTGTTTCTTTCTAGGTTCATCATGATCCTTCGTCTTTAAATATGATGAAGCCACATATATGTACACGCCCATATTTCTCTTGCTTAATAAGTTATATCGAAAAGGTATATATGTTTATAGATACAATACATCTTCAAACTATCAAATACGAAAACAGAGCAGATTATGAACCTTTTCAAATACCATATGCACTGTATTTAAATATTAATATACTTCACAAAATCGAGTAAACTTTTAGAAAGCTCGACCCAATAATCTTTTACTTATTGTACATAAGAAAACTGAGCAGATTATGGAACTTTAAACCCTATTTAATGTTAGAAAAGAGGAAGAAGAAGAAGAGTAACCTGAATAAATCAAGAAAAAATGTCATCAATACAATTTAAGAAAGAAACAAGCAACTCGATTAAATTAGAAGAGGAAGCAAACCTCTATTTTTCCACCGATCGAGCAGCTAATAATATGAGTAGCAACTAAGTATACACAACAAGAAGACACCGCTGCTATGGAAATCCACTGTTGTTGAGATTGGGGCAGAGTTTTGCTGGAAAAATACTATAGAAGCGACGATCCTGATGATTTGAAGAGATTACTAGGGCAAAGCTGCGACCATATTCCAGAAAATAAAGACTTTTCCTTTTATGTTTTTAGTTTTCAGAAACCGAGGAGTTTTTTACTTTTTTGGTTTCTATGAAAAAAAATTGGCGCTTGAAATTTTGGTGAAAAGAAAAGCTTTTCTTATTAAGAATTAATTTATTAATTTGGGTGGAAGTATATTTTCCTGCTTAAGTCCTTCAATTAGAATTTGGGACTAGTTAATTAGTTCTTTGGGGACCGGATTTAGTATCTTCACAATAAAGTATATAAATAAGGACCGGAATATAATATCGTCCTAATACATATATCTTTAGAGACGAGATTACTAGCTCGCCCCTAAATGTTGGTCTTAACTGACAGCTTTTCTTGTAGTGAAAATGTCACTACCTGAGCCTACACTCTGGACATGGCCGACACTCAAGAACTATTGTTGGTCCCAAAGCAAACCCTCATACAAGTTGAGCACAAGTGAAAGACTAACTCAAGCATACATAAGCTTAAAACCGAATGAAATCTTTTAAGCTCAATTACTCAACGCATAAGATCCGGATCATACTCAATAGAAATACTTATAGTTTGTAAAACAACTCAAAGAAGGTAAACGCCGAAAGACTCCTCAACTCCATCACTCTATGTCACACCCTTTTTTTCACCGACGGATAGGGTTTTTCAAATTTAAGTAACGTTATTGATTAGGGATTAGTTTTTTTTAGAGTCGCCACTTGGAATTGAGTTATGGTGTTCCAGGTCACCTTTTTTTAATCCCTAATCAAAAGAAAATGACTTTTTATTTTAGTCTGCGAACTAGATATTCAAGTAAGGAATTCTATTGACAGATGGGTAGGTATTTGGCATCCCTCAAGTCTCATGGTTCTAGCACGATAGCTTTTATTGATTTATACTTGTCTTAGTATATGTTTGGATAAATTGTATGTACATGCCATGGTTTGCTCATTTTTTAGTGTTGAATTTTTATTGGTCTCAGCCTAGATGCGTAACCGCATTCTTGGATTTGACATTTAATAGCCTTAAAGCATAACTTCTTTATTCTCTCGACTGAATAGCACCTAATAATTCATGTTTACATATTTTAATTTAAATTTAATGAAAGTTAACTATTAAAAATAATTTGGTCAAGGTGTATCATCACATCCTTAAATGTTCTTAAGTATCTCAAAAAGATGTGGAACCACATTCTTGATTGAGATGAAATTTAATTATTACTATTGCATAAACTAACAAAAATAAAACATATATATTTTTCTAATAGTACACAATGAGTTATTCTTATAATAGTTGTCAATATACTTGATTTAAAATATTTCCTTAAATATTAGAATAAATAGTTTAAACATTCTAAAGATCTTCATTGTTTAGCGATATGTAAGATTTAAACAGTTATATTTCAACATTATAATATCAAAATTAAACACACATAAAGTTCGAGCAATTTCATAACATTAGAATCAAGCCTTATATAATCATGAAATAAGACTATACAAAATTAAATTAAATTAAGTGTTACCTCTTGTGAAAATTATTCACGAAAAGAAAATAATCCTAATAAGGAACTATGAACTCGAAACCAAGAAAGCAAACCTTGAATTCAACCTTTGTTTGTGAGTGGAAAAGAATATAATATGAGGGTGAGTATGTATGTTGATGTATGTTTGGGTAATGGTGTTCTGTGTGAAAATGTTTTGGTGGTTTTTTTTTTGTTGTTGATTCTCCTTTTTCTTTCTTTTGTGTTTTTTGTGGTGTTGTGCAAAATTGTTTTTCATGAGTTGTGCGTGTGTTCATATATGTATGTTTGTAGTATGTTGATTGTAGTATGTGTGTTGTGGGTGTAGTGTGAGGGAGTGGTGAGTGGAGTGGGGTGTGTGGGGTAGTGGAATTGAAAGTGGGGTGATGGTAGATGTAGTGGGGTAGTGTGGGTAGTTTAGGTTATTATATTTTATAAATTAAATATATAAATAAATATACATATATATATATATATATATATATATATATAAACCATAATAATAAAAATATTAATTAATTATTTTTGAAATTTAATAATAAAAATATAAGAAAAGTCAAATAGCTAGTCTAAAAATATAATTAAGAAATACTAGCTTATTTATTAAAATTTAAATTAAAAGAAAACATATAACTTTTGTAGTTTTCCAATCTTTTAAAATAAACAAACTAAAATAAGATGAAAAATAAAATATTTAATTTATATATAAAAACAATATTTTGTATTAAAAATAGTGTAATACTTTAAGTTCGGTAAAAAATTATGTGTCTACAGTTTTCCCCTCTTTGAGTAGAAACACGAAGAGTTTTTAGACAAAGAAGTAGATAACGTGACAAATTTTGATCGGACTTGTATTTGAAGGAAAAATTTGTGCAACCGAGACTTGGTTTTCGACATCCTACATATCCCTGGTTATAAGAGAATCAGGACATGTCTAGTTCAAGAAGATGAGGTGATGAGTTGGAAGTTAAATGAGGTTCCATCGAGGCTTCTGCAGGTCGCGACTCTTATCCTTACATAAAAAAAATGAAAGCTAATAGTCAAAAGGAAAATAAAAGTACAAGCTCCTATCTATGCAGCTGCTCTTGAGTCTTCACTTGAGTCTTGAATTTGAGATATCACCTTGATTTTTGTGTGTATCTTGATCTTAAATGAATTTGATGCTTAAATTTCCACTTAGAGTGAGTTTTTGGCACTCTTCAAAATGACTTTGAAAATGTTCTTGAATGCCTGCTTGTTTTGTTGATCAGTAGCTAAATAGAAGCAGGTGTCAGGAGGTCAGGCTGCTACATTCATTGAAGAAGTTGATTCTGGCTATCATGGGGATTGATCATTATGAAAAGAGTTTAAACATTGTTCTTGAATTTCGAATCCATGTTTCGCTTGAGGAAACCTGAAAACTATCATAAACAAAAGCAATAAGCAAAATTTTTTGCCCCAGTTTTCATTGGAAATTTTTTGTGTGTTATTAGAAATTGTGAATTTTTTTTAAAAATAAACTCAGACTAGGAAGTGTTTATTCTAGGAGAAAATAAAATATAAAATTCTCAGACTAGAAAGTGTTTATTCTAGGAGAAAACAAAAAACATCTCAGACTAGGAAGTGTTTATCCTAGGAGAAAAGAAAAAATAACGATCTCAGACTAGGAAGTGCTAATCCTAGGAGAAAAAATAAAAAATAACGGTCTAAGAGTAGGAAGTGTTTATCCTAGAAGAAAAAAAAAATGTCTCAGACTAGGAAGTATCTATCCTAGGAGAAAAATAACAGTCTCAGACTAGGAAGTGTTTATCCTATGAGAAAATAAAAACTAAACATCTCAGACTAGGAAGTTTTTATCCTAGGAGAAAATAAAAAGTAACGGTCTCGGACTAGAAAGTATTTATCCTAGGACAAAAAAAAAAAATTCTCATTATGTAGGAGGGTCCTGCTAATCCCATTGTCCAGGAGGGTCCTGCTAGTTCCATTACGAGGAGGGTTCTGCTATTCCCATTATGAGGAGGGTCATGCTAATCCCATTATGTAGGATGCTCCTGCTAATCTAAATTCCATTATATAGGAGGGTCCTGCTAATCCCATTATCCATGAGGGTCCTGGTAGTCCTATTATGAGAAGGGTCCTTCTAATTTAAATCTCATTATGTAGGAGGGTCCTTCTAATTTAAATCTCATTAGGTAGGAGGGTCAAGCTAATCCCATTGTCTAAGAGGGTCCTGCTAATCCCATTGTCCAGGAGGGTCCTGCTACACCAAACCCTATTATCCAGGAGTCCAGGAGGGTCCTTCTAGTCCCACTATGAGGATGGTCTTGCTATAATCTAAATCACATTATGTAGGAGGGTCCTTCTAGTCCTATTTTGAGGAGGGTCCTGCTAATCCTATTATGAGGAAGGTCCTGCTAATCCCATTGTCCAGGAGGGTCCTGCTAATCCCATTATAAGGAGGGTCCTGGTATTCCCCTGATGAGGAGGGTCCTGCTAATCCCATTATCTAGGAGGGTCCTGCTAGTCCCATTATGAAGAGGGTCATGCTAGTGTCCCATTATCTAGGAGGACCCTGCTATACTACTCCCCATTATTCAAAAGGGTCCTGTTAGCCCCACTATCAAAGAGGGTCCTTCTAGTGTCCCATTATCTAGGAGGACCCTGCTATACTATGTCCCATTATTCAGGAGGGTCCTGCTAGTCCCATTATACGAGAGGGTCCTGCCAATGTCCCATTATACATGAGTGTCCTGCTAGTGTCCCATTATCCTTAAGGTCCCTGCTATACTACGTCCCATTATTGAGGAGGGTCCTGCTAGTCCCATTATCCAGGAGGGTCCTGCTAGTGTCCCAATATCCCGGAGGGCCCTGCTATACTATGTCTCATTATTCATAAGGGTCTTTCTAGTCCCATTATCCAGGAGGGTCCTTCTATACTAGTCATATTGTCCAGGAGGGTCCTGCTATACTAATCTTATTACTTAGGAAGATCTCTTTTGACAAAATCATCAAATTGATTCACCACAATATTATTTTTTGCCCTAGTTTGCACCAGAAAAATATTATTTAAGATATTACCATAAATGAGAAATACTTATACCAAAACAAAAATGCAAGACCTAGATGCAATTAGGGTGTTTGTTCCCTAGAAATGAAAGATGATAAGGTGTTTGTTCCCTAGAAATGAAAGATGATAAGATGTGTGTTCCCTAGAAATGAAAGATGATAGAGTGTTTCTTCCCTAAGGTCAAAATGCAACTAGAGTGTTTATTCCCTAGAAATGAAAGGTGATACGTCTAGGGTATTTATTCCCTAAGGTCAAAATGAAAATAGGGTGTTTGTTCCCTATTAATGAGAGATTTTTTTTAACGAAAAATATGGCCCATTTTTTAAATTGAGGAACTTTGAAACTCTTTTTAATTTATCTTTTTTTTCAATTTTTTTTAAAATAAAATAAAATGATTCAATTTCATTCCTTCAAGGATATAAAATTTTATTTTGGGAGACCGAGCCCCATTGTAAGATTGCCTACGTTTCTTGTATAGCAAGAATCAG